TTTTGGGTGTATGAATTTGGAGATTATAGACTGTAGTTTTGTTTGCATATGTCTATGTATTGTAAATATAAAATCTAGGTTTTAATAATATATTATTTCCTAMCTTTTTTCATACTGTACTAAATCTTATATTTACTAAGATTTAAATGTCGTTCATTAGTATGAACCTACCAACTATATATAATATATATGCCCACAAATATTAAAGTATTTATAGTTATTAGTTGGTGCTAACAAGTAACCATAGATAAACTATTAATTTAGTAGGTATGCTGGTTATTAACTACATCCATTGATTTTAGAATATTCTTAAGTATATTCTAAAATCAATATTACAACYGATATCTATATCATAAGCAAATGTAATTAAAATATTTGTATTCTGTGGTAGGTATTTCGTATTTGTTTGGTGCTACTGTAAGGTATATTTAATATTTATCAACAAAAAAAAAAWTTTTTTTTGATATTAAAAAACATATATATATTCTATTAAAGCTTAGAGTAACTATAATAGGTGTATAATATTGCAACCAGTTTTCAAAATTATTATTATAATGTGATGTAAAAGTAAATGCTAGAAATTGTTTGAAATACATAAATTGTAGTGAACAATCATAATATATAGATACATATTTCTCAAGGAATACTTTATAACTTATTCTTTAACATTCTTTGTTTAAAATAGTTAGCAATAGAATTATGAAAGTCATCTGAATTGAATCTTTCTATCAGTCTTTCAATCTCTCTATCATTAGCTTTGTGCAGTTCATCTTTAGTGATCACACCATTTARCATCATTGATTTTGTGTAAACCATAGGCTGTAAAGTTCATTGAAATAAAAAAAATTTAATTACTTCATAATATGACAGTTGACAGATAGAATTATTGATAAAGAGGATTGGAAAATATTTTTACCAATTTATACAAAGCTATTTCAGTTGTGATTTTTTKAATTAATTGATTTCTTCCATCAATCCCGTCATTTATAATTTCATTGACTAAGCCAATCTTCTGAGCATCAATAGCATTCAATGTCTTACCAGAGTACAAAAATTCAATGGCCTAAATAGTAAATACRTGTAAGTAATACTCTATGGAACTATTCTATTCTATTGTCATTAAATAATTACAGATATTTTAATTAGTAAAATCTTTTGGCAAACAATGAAAATATAGTGTAATAAATGTTTAARTAAAATATAATTGCCATACAATGTATAATATTATTGGGTATATATTGTAATAAATACTCAATAGTAATATGTGAGGCGATGATGCTTGTAATTTTATTGAACTATTGATTTAAAAGTAAGCACATAAGGTTATTAAGACAGCCATATTTTAAAACAAATTATTATTTACCCTAGTTTTGCCCATAATTAATGGAAATGTAATACTTGAACATCCTTCAGCAGTAATACCCAATCTGTGGAAAGGACATGAAAATGTCGCCTAAAATTGAACAATATTCTGTATAAATTTAACACTAACGATATAATTGACTTACTGTTTTAGTTGCATAGACAAGATCACACAATCCTAACGTAGTACATGCAATTCCAATTGCTGGACCGTTGACTAATGCAACTAATAGCTTTGGATAATCTATGAACGCTCTTACAAAGTCTCTGTTGATGTAATTACATATTTTGATAAGTATTGTTAAAAAAAATAGTATGGTTACCTATGTGAAATATTTGTTTACCGTGTTGCAATCAAACGATCTTCAATATCTATAACAGAACTATCAAATAGGTCTGTACCACTACTATAGGCTTTTCCTACACCAGTTAATATGGTAAGAAAAACAGAATCATTKTTAGCGCCTTCTGCGAGAGCTTTAGTCAYTTCATTGTAACACTGTACATTTTTACAAAGTTAATATTWAAAAAGTTATGTTACTTTCAAGTAAAATAAATAAAATATTAGTTTTACACATAATTACCTGATATGATATGGCATTTAGTTTATTTGGACGATTAAATGAAATGATCTGCACTGATCCATCATAAATTACTAATATTGTAGACATCCTGACAAATTTAACACCAGCACTCGTCAGCTTTTAGAAATTTCCAGTAAAATCAATAAAATATAAGAGTTAATTTACTGCTTCTAAGATTTGCTCATAAATTGTTTGTATAATAATATAACTTTTGGAAGAATAAATATGATATATTATGATATTTTAGACTGTTAAATATTCTATAAGTCTACTTAAGTTTATACTGTTTTCAATAATTAAAAATTAAAAAATTAAATAAAATTACCTACCTAGGTACTGCAAAATTCAATTTATTAGAAAATTGTAATACATATCTACTTATTTAGTACCTATTTGATTACACCATATAAACTGAGTATGATTGTATGAATAT